TGAAGAATACAATAACTGAAATGAAGAATGCACTAGAAGGATGCACTAGAATGCACTAGAATGCATCAGCAGACTAGATGATACAGAGGACAGAATCAGCCATTTGGAAGACAAGGTAGCAGAAAACACACACTTGAAAAAGCAAAAAGAAAAAAATAAGGATAATTTAAGAGACCTCTGCAACAACATCAAGCATAATAACATTCACATCATAGGGGTACCAGAAGAAGAGAGAAAGCAAGGGATTGAAAACTTATTTGGAGAAATACTTACTGAAAACTTTAAACCTGGTGAAGGAAATAGACATGCAAGTCCAGGAAGTGCAGAGAGTCCCAAAAAAGATGAACCCAAACAGGCTCACACCAAGACACATTATAGTTAGAATGCCAAAGGTTAAAGACAAAGAGAGAATCCTAAAAGCATCAATAGAAAGGTAATTGGGAACTTATAATGGAGCTCCCATAAGATTGTCAGCTGATTTCTCAGCACAAACTTTACAGTCCAGGAGAGATTGGCCCAAAATAGTCAATGCAATGAAAAGCAAGACCTACAACCAAGGGTACTTTACCCAGCAAGGCTATTATTTAAAATCAAAGGACAGATAAAGAGCTTCCTAGACAAGAAATATCTAAAAAAGTCCATCACCAACAGACCAGTAGTATAAGAAATGTTAGTGGAACTTCTTTAAGAAGAAGAGAAAAAAAATGAATAATACAATGGCAATATCTACATATCTATCAATAATTACTTTCAATGTAAATGGATTAAAGGTTCCAATCCAAAGACATAGGCTGGCTGAGTGGATAAAACAAAACCCTTACATATGCTGTCTACAAGAGACTCATTTCAGATTGAAAGACACACACAGATGGAAAGTAAAGGGATGTAAAAAGATATTTCATGAAAATGGAAATGAAAAAAAAAAAGACAAAGAAAAGCTGGCGTAGCCACACTTATATACCAGACAAAATAGACTTTAAAACAAAGGCTATAACAAGAGTCAAAGAAGGACCCAGTAATACCACTTCTGGGTATTTATCTGAAGAAACCCAAAATGCTATTTCAAGGGAACATGTGCATCCATATGTTCATTGCAGCATATTTGCAATGGCCAAGATGTTGAGGCAGCCTGGGTATCTGTCGATGGAAGAATGAATAAAGAGGAGGCCGTACATATATGCAATGGATCATTGCTCAGCCATGGAAGAGAATCAGTTCTTGCCATTTGGGGCAGCATGGATGGACCTGGAGGGTATTGTGCTTTGTGGAGTGTCAGACAGAGAAAGACAGAAGCAATGTGATTTTGCTTATATGTGGAATCTAAGGAACAAAATAAACAAACAAAACAGAAACAAATTCATAGATACAGAAAACATTTTGAGGGTTGCCAGATGGGAGGGGGGTTGGGGGTTATAGTGAAAAAAGAGGAAGGGATTAAGTACAAATTGGTGGTTACAAAGTAGTTATGGGAATGTAGAGTATAGCATAAGAAATATAGCCAAGAATATTGTAATAACTATGTATGGTGCCACACAGGTCCTAGATTTGTTGGGGTGATAGATGGGAAGGGGCTTAGGGGTAGGGTGAGAAAGATTGAAGGATTAAGCAGTACAAATTAGTAGTTACAAAATAATCATGGAGTTGTAAAATAAAGCATAGGGAATATAGTCAATGATGTGGTAATAAGTATGCATAGTGCCAGGTGGGTATTACACTAGTCAAGGTGATCACTTCTTAAATTATACAAATGTCTCACCCCTATGCCATACACCTGAAATTAATATAAAATAATATCTAATGGCAACTGTAATTAAACAATAAAATAATAATAATTACACTAAAACTGCCAGGAGGATGGAAATTCATAGGTGAACTAAATTTCACCACACAGATATAATCCCATGTGTCTTAGAGGGTAAGGGAGAAAATGGAAGCAGTTCTCCACACTGGAAAGACCCAATTTTTGGCAAGCAGCTATATGGTTATTCTGGATCATAGGGAACATTCTAAGGTCTTGGTGTTGGCATCATATAGCTGACGGGTCATATAGTAGCGGGTATCAGCAGTCATGTCTCTAGCAGAGAGCTCCATGGTACATTTTGATCCATTTGGCTACACTGTTCTACACTGAGCGACACCTAAGCCTAAATTCCTGTGAACTGCTTAATACCATCTCATATCTCTTTTTGATTAATAGCCATAGTGGATTCTGTTGTCAGTGACTAACAATATCAACCAAGAGTACTCCATCACAGCATCCTTCTGAGAATGAAAAAGAGCCACTGGATTTAGATTTAACAAAACATTTGGAAAACATAAAGAAAGGTGTTATATTTATTGTTGGTTAAATAAATATAAATTCATTATGTAAAAATAAATATAATTAATTCTGTGTAATATCTCTAATATAAAGTCGAGAGAATTAGAGTGCTTTTTCTATGGTTGTAGTCAATTTAGTACTTTATGTATGTAAGGTTTATATAGTCATAAAGTTGTTTTAAGGGAATAAAGTCTATTTTCCTTTAATATTTCCAAACCTTTCTTCTAAAACTGTTTATTCAATTTAAGAACATCATTTGCCTGCCAAAAATTAATAACGGTATTTTAACTAGTGTTAGGGAACCTCCTAATTTGGAAACACAGCTGTTTTTAAATTGTGATTTGTATTTAGTGTTAACCATATTTTGCCCTTCTGGGGACCTTCTGCTGGAGGACTCTTAGTTTTTCAAGCCCAGGACTGAGGCAACATATATAAATCATGGCTTGAGTCTTGGAAGAAATTTGAGAGGTAGTGACACCCATATTTATTTTATACAAGAGAGCTAGCCAAAGGTCATTCTAGCAACTGACTACTACCTCATTTTTGAAAGAGAGGGACAGAGGGAGGGAGGGAGGGAGGGAGGGAGAGAGAGAGAGAGAGAGAGAGAGAGAGAGAGAGAGAGAGAGAGAGGAAAACCCTCACATTACTCTCTAGTTCCAGGAGCTGGACACTTGTCCCATTTCTTCCAAAATGGAGCCCTGTTTTATTTTTGTTTGAATTCTCCAGGTTGTAGTTCTTCTTTAAGCCCTAATCATTTTGCTAAGGACCTGTAATCTGCTGAACAAAGTCAAATATAATCTTTCTGACTACCCAGGAAAATGCTTGTTATCGTCACATATTCAATCAATCAATCAATCAATCAATCTGTGACAGAAACTGCTACATATTCACCATAAACTGTTTCCCCTTTGTTGTTGAAAGAATGAGTCCCCCTAAGATGTACAGGGTGCCTACATCTTGATTCCTAGAATCTGCGAATATGTGACCTTACCTAGAAAAGGAAAATTTCCAAATGTGGTTAAGGATCTTAAGATGGGCTGATTATCCTCAATTATCTGGGTGAGCCACATGTAATCACAAAGGCCCATATAGGAGGAAAGCAGTAGTAAGAGAAGGTGATGTGGTGACAGAAGCAGAGGCTGAGAGAGAGAGAGAGAGAGATTAAAGATGCTACATGGCTGGCTTTGAAGATGAAAGAAGGTAACATGAACCAAGGAATGAATGCAAGCAGCCTCTAGATGCTGGAAAAGGCAAATAAATAGATTGTCCTCTAGAACCTGCAGAAGAAATGCAGCCCTGCCAACACTTTGATTTGAAGACTTTGAACCTCCAAAACTGTAAGTTAATAAAGCTGTACTGTCTAAATTTGTGGTAATTTGCTGGAGCAGCAATAGGGTACTAACACAATCATCTTGGGCACACAGTTGGACTGCATTTCCCAACTTCCTCTGTGGCTAAAGGTGGCCATGTGACTGAGTTCTGGCCAATGGAATATGACAGAAGTGAGATGCATCACTTCCAAGCCAGGGCAATAAAATCCTGTCTCATAATCCTTCATGATCTCCTTCAGTTAGATATATGAGCATGATGCAGCAAAGGACTCTAAGACTCTATAACGAGCTAGAGCCAGAATGTGGAAGGATCCTGCTCTCTTTCATCTCCACATGGTAAGCGGCCCACCAAAGAACCACACTGAACAAAAATATATAAAAAAAAATAAATAAAGCTCCAATATGGTCAGCCACTGAAATTTTAGGTATGTCTGATTCATATATCATTCAACTAATAAATATTTATTAAGCAACTGCACTATACTAGGCTCTAGTAAAATGGCAAAAAATAAAAAAAAATGTATAAAAGGTAAACATAGTTTCTGCTCTCATAAGATTGATAGTGTTCTTGGACATCTTTCTGCTTACTTAGTGAAACACCTCTCGGTGCTCTTTTTAACATTAAATTATGTCCAAGCCTATCACCTATGTGGCAGTGGTGGTGTGTAAAGAAAAATGTGAAATGATGTTAGTGACTGGGTTAATAATAGGTTAGTGACTCACCTGTAGAATAATGACTCCTATTCATCAGGATATGCTATTATAACCAATAACCTGAAAATCTCAGTGTTTAAGGCAATGAAATGTTTTTGTTATTTTTCCTTCTCACTTCTGAAAAGTCCACTGTAAGTGAGGTAGTTTTGAGTGACTGTCATGTGAGAGTTGACTCAAGGACACATTTACTTCCATCTTGAAGCCCCAAGGTTCCTCGGGCATGTACCAGTCAATGATAAAATAAAGAAAGTGTGAGGAAGGTACATCGGTATATTTAACTACCTAGGACTAAGGATGGACATATCACTTAACTTAACATTAGCCAGAACTGGTTATCAATCTCTATAGATGCAAGGGAGCTGGAAAATGTAGTCCCTGCTGGATAATTATTTTTCATCAATTACTATGGAAAGAGAAAATAAACCATGGACCATCTCTGCCACATAATCAGTAGGCAACCACTTCAGAAGGATTTTTGCATTTAATCTTAAAGAAACTCCTTGAGATGTTATTATTATTTCCCTTAATTTACATATGAAGAAAATAAGTCTTAAAAGATTAACTCACCAAGTTGTGCAGACACTGCAAGGGGCAAAGCCGGGATTCAAGAATGTTTTCAGACAACTTTATACCCTGGAAATTTATACAGTCTTACATAGCAATGGAGAAAAAAAAATCAAAGAAACAGAAAATGAAGCAGAAAAGAGACTAGCATCTAAATGTAACTGTTGCAAAAATAGATGGTGCCTCACCTTTAGAAAGGAGTATTCACTGTCTTAGGGAATAGGGATGACTATGAAACACAAGTACCCAACTGTTTTGTTTACAGCTCTAGGGGAATGTTTCTTTTTTTATTTTCTTTTTTTTCCTTTTTTTTAAGCAGAGCCATCCTGCCACCTGTTGGCAGCTTAGCGGCTACTCAGCTCAGGCTGGGAATCGAACCACTGTTGCTCAGAGCTCACACTCTTGAGCGAGCTCTTAACCAACTGAGCCACTCTGCTGGCCCTAGGGGAATGTTTCTTATTTCACTTTCAGTACCCCAGGGGACTTGGCCCGCCCTCACAACGGTATTGTTCAATGTTGGGGAAGCCATCCGTCATTTCACCTCCCACCACAGCCTTTACAGTGCCTACATGCTCTCGGAATTTAAACCAAAAGAAAGTTTTAATGCTGAAAAATCAAAATCAATCCAGGTGCGAGCAGTTCCTTAACATTTTGCTTTCCAGTCCTTCTCCCTCCCAGCAGTGTTGGAGGATCTCATGGCTTCCCACCAGATTTCCCCTCCTACTGCCCTGGAGGAGAAGCCAAAAGAATCCCGAGTTTTGCTTGTGGGTACCCCACACTGGGTGATTAGGTTGACGCTTACCTTTGAGCCAAAGAAAATTGGATGCAACTCTGTGATGCTCAGTGTCAAGCTGGAGAGAATGGAAGACATCCTTTCCTAGAATCACTCTCTCTGGGAAGCTTTCATGAGCCCTTCCAGACAGATTATTATAGCTCTAGCTCGCTGGTTGCACTGGGCTCTTTCTGTCAGCCTTGTTCCAAGCTCCACTGTTAGACAGGGCCAACGCGGTTCAGGGCAAGTTTATATAAAGAGAGTGTGTACAGTGGCTCTTGTACGTAATAGGAACACTATTTCCTGTTTTCCCTGCTTTAACAGCGGTCTGCACTGACTATACTGTATGGTCAATATAGTGAGAAGAGAGGGCAAAGCACCTTGTTTAAAAGCTGATAAAGAGAAGGGGACAGGGCAGGAAAGTAGAAGGAAGGAGGGAGAGACTTCCCTCTTTCTGACGTTACTGCCTTCTTCCATGGCAGGCCTCTGGCTCGGTTGCTTTCAGAGTTTAACCTCTGCAACCTTTTTCTCTGGCAGAGTTTATTCCCCCCACCCCATTTCTCAAGATGCCTGACCCTGTGTTCCTATACCACTCTTTTAATAGAACCATGAAGACAGGTGTTCATTACACTGTTATGGGCTTCCTGACTTTCTCATCTGCCTCCTATACTTAACTGTATTGGGAGTAAAGACAGTATCTCGTTTAAATTTCTGCCCCAGCACTTGGCATAGGGTCTGGCACATTGGCAGGTCCTTAATAAATACTTTTTGAGCCCACAAGTGAAACCAGAACCAGAAACAGCATCCTGAGTCTTATTCAGTTTGTTTTTTCACTATGAAAATGTAATGTTCATATTTTAAAAGGTGACCTCAGGTGCTTCCTCTCACTGTCCAGCAGAAAGGACTTTTACCAGCCCCATTTGAGAAGGTTTCTAAAAGAGCAGAGGAGAGATTTCAATGTTTTCAAAAACCTGCTCCACACAAAAGACATCCTCAAAGGGAGATAAGTAAGCATTTACATAGAAACTCAGATGACTGTGTATTTATGAGGCAGTATTCAGGGTTCCCAAAGATTCCAGCCTAGAAAAATAGTAGCTTGTGTTCTTGTCTCAATCTTGTCATTTTAATGAAGTTTCACTTTTAAGTCAATTATGTAGCATGTTTCATGAACATCAAATTGAGCAGGCATGTTCCTGTTTTAGGCAATTGAGTCATACAAAGTCTGATTCATTGAAGAAAAAAAATCACACAAACGCATTCTTTACTTTATGTAAAGATTTATTTACCATGTTTCTCCATGTAGGATTCACTACACACTTAATGTGAATTGTTATATATATATATGTGTGTGTGTGTGTGTGTGTATATATATATATATATATATATATATATACACATATATACATATGTATATATATGAAAAATTTTCAGAAGTAGTAACATTTTAAATTGTTTGATACTTTAAAAAGCACTTCTCAAAAATGCTTTACCAATTAGTATCTCATTTTATTTTTATACAATTCTCTGAAGTTGGCTAAGGCAGTGATGATTATCTAATTTATGATGACAGGTAATGCTTACTGACCACTTACCCTACACATGATACTGTCTTTAATGTATTCTGTATAATAAACTCTTTAATCCTCCCAATAACTTTGTGAGGTAGGTTACTGTTGTATTCAATGTACTCATTTAATAGGTGAGATATTGAGAACTGAGCTGATAAACTGCTTTCAGTTTCTCATATTAGTGGTAGTGAGTTGAGTTGTGTCCCCAAAACAATAAATACAAGTCTTAATCCCTGGTACCTATGAATGTGACCTTATTAGGAACTAGAATCTGTAGATATGATTTGGTTAAGGATCCCAGATGGAATAATCCTGGGTTTCAGGTGGGCCCTAATTCAAACGACTGGTGTCCTTATGAGAGAAGGAAAAAGGAGATTTATGGCACCGCGACATGGGGAAGAGGCCCATGTGGAGATAGAGGTAGAGTTTGGAGTTATGTTGCCACAAGATAAGGAATGCCAAGAGCCACCTGAAGCTAGAATTTACAAGGAAGGATTCTTCCCTAAATTCTTTGGAAAAGCATGGCCCTGATGTGACACCCTGGTTTTGGACTTTCTGGCTTCAGAACTGTTAGAAAATAGATGTATTTTGTTTTAAGCCAACCACTTGTGATAATTTGCTATGACAGCCCTAGGAAACTATTGGTCATGCTCCCTTTTGCTGTAGATTTTTATATGTGCTTGTTCCTTATACTCTTTGCCTAGAATACAGGAAAGGACAAAGAAAGTTCCTGTTCAGTCAGTTCTTACCATAATAACGCTGAGTAACAATCATAAAATCTCAGTGATTTCCCAAGATAACCTTGTATTTCTCACACATCTACAAGTTGACTAGGACAGCTTTGCTGATTTTACCTGGGCTCATTCATGCATTTGCAGGTTGACTATGGGTCAGCTGATACAAATGTGACTGGCGGGGCAGCTCTGCGTCAAGCTGTGAGTCCAGGGGACTTGGCTCTTCATGGTGGGTTGGGCTAATGTTAACCTCCACTTGTTACACTTCTTCCTCAGGCTCTCACACTAGCTGGGTGAGTTCTTCTTATGGCGATGGCACAGAATTAAGAAAGGGTAAGTGGAACCAAGTGATGACTCTCTATACCTAGTCTCTAAACTGTCACATTGTCATTTCTGCCCCCACTCCATTGGCCAATCTAATGTAGAATCCAGGGGGAGGGATCTACATTCCACCCACAGAGGTGGGGCTGGGAGAACTGGATATTTTTTGAACAATAATTTAACCTGCCACAGTTTCTTTTCTTCCCTGTCTCATTCCCTGTCCCCATGCCTGCCATCTTCTACATTCATTTCAAGAAGCAATCTCGGTATTATCACCTTCAGCAGGCCTTCCTATCAATCTAAACATGAGCTAGATATTTCTCCCACCCTATAGTCTCCCCTTTCTTACTATGACACTAGATTTAATTCTTATTTAATTATTTCCCACCCCCAGGTGGACTGTAAGCTTTCAGAGGACAGGGTATAATCTTTTTATTTCAGTATTTTTCTAGTGTCTTAGCCAAAGTTTTTACATCTCATTGTTGAATTAAAAAAAAAAAATCTTGGGCCGGCCGAGTGGCGCGATGGTTAAGAACTGGCTTGGGACGCCAGAGGGCCCCGGTTCGGATCCCACATGTGAGGGCCAGTGACACTGCCCT